ACAGAACAAAAAGAAATCAGCAGTCCCTTCTTGTGTAACGGCCTTATTTAAGTCCACAACAAAAATACAGTAAGAAAGCCAGACATGTGAATTGTATCATCTCTTTCCATACCCTTATATTACAAAACAGTGTGTGATTTACTGAAAATACATTAGTTACACCTGTCACCAGCAGATATTATTGTTTTACCCTGTGAATTTCCTTGTACTGACATCCATAAAGATTACAGAACTTGGCCAAAGAAAATAAATTAATTCCGGTAATTCCATTCCAAAAAAGTAAAACAAAAAAATTCTGAACTTTAAATCAACATCCAATAACAGGAATAGTTTCATTCTCTGTTTGGGTTTCAGGCGAATTTGAAGGATTTGCAAAGGATTTAAAAACATTTCTGAGTGTGCATTTGCAAGCACAGCAGATGTTCAGCGATACCTCTAGTGTTGGTTTAATTAAACACTTATATTAAGATAACTCTTCAAATTCAAACGGAAACATGGTGTCATAAATGACAGAGAAGACTGTTGTGTCTTTAAGTACAAATACAGAAACTCCGACAACATAGCACAGGGTATCAGGTAAAATAAAGAGTATTCTGTAGCTGACAACATTCACTTTACACCACGTAAAAGACACTTCATCAAGCACAATCTACACCTCTCAATATCAGATGTTTAAAATAAAGCTGGAGAGCACTTTTGTATGTGTCCTCAGAGCTGGCTGTTATTTTCATTAATACCCATGCATTTATACCAAAATTATATGTGCTTTTCGTGTTAACATTTAATTGGAGGTTTTATGATATATTTGTGTAGCACAGCTCTCCGGACAGTTTCTCTGAACTGTAAAATAGGTTGTGTATGCAGATAGCAAAAAATACCTGACCGAGCTCAACAGATATTTAAGAACGAAGATATTTAGTATTTAAAATCATCTCTGATAAAGACCAACTTGCAGAACCTTCAGAAAGCGGATGTAGTAACTTTAAGAGTCCAGGACAAATATGGCAATTATTTTAGATGGAATGTTTAAAGTGAACGTATAGCCCCTGAAATTACAACAAAAAATAATAAAACCAGCATATGCATATTGTTCCAACTATATCTGCCCTATGCCCCTAAATATGAACGTCTCAGAATGTTTTAAAGTAGCATGGGCTAGTCTCTATATGATTAATACAACTGTCACCTAATCAAAATCAATATTTACAAAATATTTTTAATTGTATACATTTATTTTTTATCTCCACTGATTGTGTAACAGAAGCCTTGACATAGTTACACAATGCTCTCTGTTTTGTTCCAAGCTTTACAGTATGTGCCTGGTGCTATAAACATATCTGAAACCATTTTCCTTCCTGCCTTCAGCAACACACATTTAATAATTAGGAAAAATGATCTGGATTTTTTAAATTCTTAATCTGTTTTAAACCTACCTGAAGCAGCTCAATACACACAACAGAATTAACACAGTGACCCCTTAAGGGTAAGGGTAATTAATGAATAATTTCATTTTAGTCAACATGATTTAAACCTATTTTTAAATATTAAATACAAATCCAATAATATTATGACTCAAATAAAACAATTACACGGCGGCTACAGTATTATTGCATCCCTCACAAACACAGAAACTGCTTTTTTTTGTCTTTTATGAATAGAGTCTATGTTCTGTCACAGCAGATGATGGTCATTTTCTGCTTGAAGAATATTAAAACATAACATTCTTGAAAATGATGTAAAACATTTGCTGCTTTTTTTCCTGATGTACAACATCTGTGGCAAAATGATTGGAACATTTCAATTAAACACTTAAGAAAGATGAAGCACGATGGAGAAAACAAGGGTTTTCCTGGCAAAATACACCACAGTGTGTTATACTAGACCTTAATCTTTGTTGTTTTTTCAGCTGTATAAAATAATAACCTTCAAGTAAAGAATTTCTATTATTAATCAGTTTTATTTAAAAAAATTTTTTTTCATTAAATGGTAATTTTCCATGAAATAGTAACATTAAAATCTAATCAAATTTATTTCTTATGTCTCATACATTTACTTATACATTACTTCACTCTAAATACATTGTATATAAACATATATGTGTGAATTATTGTGTGTACACTTGAAAGGAAGGAAAATAAATGCATCAAGCTCCTTTAAAGAATGGGCAAAATTTGAACTGAAACGTTTAGTAGATTCTTATAGAACACAAAACAGTATTGTGCTATTTACAAAGTATATTTCCAAAATATAACTTCAGTTCTTTAAAATATATTTGTGGTCACATTTAAAAGGTTATTTTGTATGTTTTATCTTGTATTCAAAAGAGTAACTGAAAAGAAATCATAAATAGTCCTCTCTTGGATCTTAAGCAACTCCTTCAATTTTTTTAATGAACCGCTTCACAGGATGAGCATTTCAAAATAATCGATTTGAAGTTCTGTTTATTAATACTGTAACTTATGAATCCGACAATAATGGCAAACAGAACTTTGGACTGTGGTACAGTCGATACGATTATTTTTTCAATAAAAATATGTGATTCTTTGACTTGTGCAGTGAAACCAATCAATTACTTGCATTTCTAACTAAATGAGGGAACATGATTGTCTTTCAAAATGGAAGAAGTTAAGCTTGCAGCTGGAGACAAGAGTAGTTTTGGTGTGTTGTCGGCGTCTCTTTGCTGGTTATGTACTACTGGTTATGGGGCTGGAATAATTTCTGACACTTATCATGAGGTATTGATCATGCATTTGTAAAAAATATCCCAAACACTTTTTTAAGAGTACTCTGAAGATTGCAGCATGCATTCTCACTCAAGGTACTAATCAACCTACTAAAATTATTTTATATTACGTAAATGTATCATAATGTGATATGACATTAACATTATGATGGATCAGCTACAGACACAGTGAAGGGTTATTAGAATCAGGGAGGTGGAGGAGAGCATTCCTTCTCTTAAAAGTTGCATGACAAGGGGTAGCCAAGACAACAAACCAATTGACCTTTTTTGTCCTTTTAATCATAATATTATTCTTTCAATCTTTAGTTTTAATGCATTCACTCAACAAAGACATCTAGTTATTCAGCTGCTGTGTTCTGCATTATCTTTTGACATTTTTAAGGATATGGTGTATTTTAAAACATTCTGTTTTACATGTATCGATATATAAACAGTACATAATGCATATCTATATATACTGTTTCCAAGTAAGAAGTTCACAGAGGATGCTGAGCCATCCAATTTAGACTGCAGAGCTGAAGAAAAGTGCAGAGCAGTATGTAAACCTGCATAATCCAGATCAGTATTTAACACAGAGAAGCTTAAAACTAGATTCATTTGAGGTAGAGATTCCTAATGGGTTTAATGAAATTGCTTCCCAGTGGTCAATGAAGGGTTAATGGTAGGGCATCTGACTTAAAATTTTAATGGAATACCTTCGTCCCAGAATGAACTGTGCCAGTATTTCTTTTTTTGCTCAGCAGCATGGATCTTGGATTCCCTGTATATATGGTACTTTGCAAACTATGGATCTTCAGAAAAGATATTTAAAATCCATATGGCTTAACTGTGCTCCATTGTATTACACAAACCTTAATCTGCCATGTCATTAACTTGTACTTTTCTATTAACAATTCAGCAGCAATGAGAAATGCATTTATCTGATGAAATTCTGACAGCAAATGATCAGTTTCTAAAATAACACTTGGAGGTTTTACATGTAAATTAAATGCTGTTTTGAAAATCAGAATATAAATACATATTGTGGTAAAATCACATACTGTCTATAGTTATTATAATCTGATTGAGTAAAAGTGAACATAAGAATACATCTTGAAAGCCTAATGAAAATAAAGGTGAATTTGTTTTTTAAAATATCTCAATAAATTCTATTTTTACTTGTCATACACACAGTACAATAATACAATAAAATAGAATTGTAGCTTTACTGTAAATATCTTCACTCTAAAATAATTATTGCTGTTCCATAATTTATGCTTTTACCGTAATGTAATCCATATCACATTTATATAAAACATTTTTACAATATTTCAATATTTCAAATCTCAGTGCATGTTTTTTTTAAAATCGACAGTTTATACACAGCTGAACTAAATCGAAAACCAGGTCCGTATGTAAAATAAAACAGTTAACCTTTTTTTACTTTGTCATCTAACAGATAGGCAAACTTTTCTCTTTGCACCTTGCCCAATCACTTACTACACTTAAAGTACATCCAAACGGACTAAAATGGAAAAAAGAGACATTGGAGATAGCCAAAAAAAAGGTGGTGTTGTTTTATTAATCACGGGATCCTGTCAGCCCTGCTTTCCCCAACATTGTCTCACGCAGTCTGCTTGACCAAAATACTGAGCGGGCACTCAGAGGAACACTGGGGCTAAAGGTGCCTTCATTTATCTTCCTGTGTGCAAATATAGCAAAGTGTAATACTCTGCTCATTATCTAGTGCATTCAGTTTAGCTAATTTGCTATAATTTATTTCCCATCACACTGAGAGCGCAGACTGGAATGCATGGACAACTTCCCTGCCTGCAGCCGCTCACAAAGCCTAGAGATCCCTGACAAGTTTTGTTTCAAGCTCTTCGTTCTTGAAAGGCTAATCTCAAACAGAAGGAAGAACTGTATTCTGTTTTTTTATCATTATTATTATTATTATTTTTATTTTACAGAAACCTAAATGCCCATCTCTCCTCACTACGGGTGAGCGCCAGAAATCGGTTATCTGCTCGTGTTTCTCTTGACACAAGGCAACACAGACACGTCTCTGCACCTGCCTGTACCTATTGTGTAGTACCACTGCAAAAGTCATGTATCACTTCACACCAAAAGGAGACGGACGACAGCACATTGTTTGTTCAGAAAAGAAGTTGCCCATCTTCCCTGGTAACTTATTCAAAGAAGAACCAAACACTAATATTTAAAAAAGATAGAAAAAGGAAAAAAAAAATCAGGTAGGAAAGAATAGAAGAGCACCTACTGGTTATGATAGTTGAGAGGGTCTGGGATACAAAGTTCTGAAATGTCCATCAGTCCAGTTTTAGCATTCCAGGAATCACAGGAAGTGGAAAGAGGAAACGATTTACACAAATTCTTCCCAAAAGGAAGCAGAGCACCTTCAGAGGCAGTGGAAAAAAAAAACAAAAGCCTTCTTCAGAGCCCCCAACCCCTGGCGTGCACAGGTATGTCTGTGTTTCTCTGTATGTGTGTATATGTGTATGTGTGTGTGTGAGAGAGAGAGAAACAGAGAGACGGGGAGAGAGGTATAGGGGGTGAAAGAGAGAGAGGGAGAGAGATGGAGAGAGAGAGTGGAGGGAGCGCTAAGATCGAGAGACAGTGAGAGAGAGGGTGAGAGAAATGACTCTCTCCATGGTCAGGATAGGGCTCTTTAAGACTGAAGGGCTTGATGAATATGGAACAGCTGCTGTTGGCTGGCTCTTGGGGGCAGGACTTAAAGCAACAGAGAGGGCTGGCAGGGCCGGGACTGCGAAGGGAGGAGGAGGTGTACAGGGCAGCCAGTCAGAATCGAAATACTCGCCCAGGACATCACACACTCCACTGCTACTCTCCCTGTACCACACACACATATTACTCATCACGCTAAAAAAAAAAAAAATGGAATAAAATGTGGAGAGACTGTGTTAGGATTGTGACATGCTCTAATTATCCCAAAGTATATTTTAATACCAGGTATCAGCAATTCAGACCTGGTGTGATAACTGCACTGCCAAGTGGTTCTTAGAAGTACCTCGAACATAAACAAGCAAAGATCAATTAAAAAGTGTTGAAAGGAACATTTATTTCTTATTTTTATAGCGATCAGTTTAATCTAATTTGGACAGGTCATTTTATTTAATTTTCCTAATTTATTTTTAGATCATTTTTCTAGTATCCTAACAATTATTTGGGTTCTTTCTTAAAGCATGGTAAATCTTCCTACCAACACTCTAGAAGACGGTGTATAATCTAGGCAAGTTATAATCTAGCTATGACTGAAATGTGAAATACAAGCACTTTGAGGTTACAGTACAGTATGTGACCAAAGTACATATTTGGAAACAGAAATGACTATCACTCCAAAGAGGAATAATTGCCGTGAGATTATCTGTCCATGAGCTATGGAACACAAAACAAAATTTGTCACTGCATATATTAATCTTGCAGTTGCATTAACACAAAGCATGTGTTAATGTTTTGCTTGCTGTGCTTTAAATGAATACAGTTTTTGTTGTGCTATTACAAATATTTTTCACAACCCCCATTTTGTCTTAGGCTATGTTCAATATATTTCCATAAAACGCATTGCAGTCACATAATGTTTATTTAATATAATAATTTTGATTGGCACCATTATTATTGACAAGGCACACAGGAAACATGTCCAAATACACATAAAGAAGATTTAAAAGTCTGATAACAGGCAAGAAATTTGTAACAAGAATTGGAAAATTATTTAATGGATCAGAAACTTATTTTTTAAAGGTGAGTACATATAATCCGCAATGCAAACATTTTACGACCACAGCGCTCAGTTTAGAATTTCTCATTGCTTTGCTTTTTTCTCATGTAATTCACAAAGCTGATTCTGTGTCACAAACCACACACCTAGTCCTTCAAATCTAAAAGGAGCATAACATTTTTCTGCCTCCTTTGCGCGATTCTTTCAAAAGATCCCATTTTACCGTTGATCATGTTCTGAAAGAATGCAAAGAATGCAGATAACATTTCACATTTAACGGGGATCTTTACATCCATGAATCTTACAGCATTTCTGAAAGCAAACGATGACATCTTTAACAGAGAGCTTATAAATCATAATGTAAGGACTAAGATGGGAAGAAGAAAACTTTGCATCTTATTTTCTAAGATACGGCCAGAAAATATGTTATATGTTAATCTTTATGATTAATATTTTGCTACTCACTTCATCCAACTGCACCTGTCTTAAAGGATTTGGATAACAAGTTTCTTCCTACCCAAAATGCAAGAATTGAAGAACGCACAGGAAATTCCCTCTGAGTAGCTTCTTCCTTACCTTATACAGTACCTATCTGTCCATCATCTGCTCAATTGTTTTTCATTCCCAGTCTGCTCAAGGTGCATCATTTCTAGCATTTAAGGTACGTTCCTTGGCATATAAAGTCACATACAGTGTTTTATCAACTTTTATATCTTTCACCAAAAATAAAATAACCAAGTTCTCTTTCACCGTTATATCCTTTCTCATTACTATCATTAGATACGTGGTCAATCATGGACAGAGAATTAGGAAAAGTTCAGGGTTATTGCACTGTGTGAGCGTGTTACCAGACTTGTGTATTTTTAAAAACTATAAGGTAGCATCCGGACCTCGATACCAGTTTACCTAGGAAAGGAAATACTCCTGTTTACTGTGTGTGCTAGACTATATTGGAGCAGATCAACCTTCTGCAATACATAAAAGTGATGATTGATATCGCAGAAGTACAGCAACTCCTAATTTAATTGCAAAAGACAGGAATAAAATGTCATTCTTTCTAAATCTGAATGCATTTTATCTGGTTAAGGAAACAAGAGAACAATTCCTTTGGAATGCTTATTAGGGAGAAAGAGCAGGAGAGTGTGTTGAAATTCTTCATTCAACTACAGTAAATGGCTCTGCCGACTTTTGAACATTCTTGGTGGAATTATTTTTTTTTCTGCTGAAAATGTATGATGCATACACTTACTTCAAATATAAATAGAGTACACATACACAAAATAGAAAAAAATTATTAATTCAAAACATTTTACGTCTTGTTCAATCACGTTAATATTATATATTGTACAAGCTCAAATTAATTATTATGATACATATAGAAATCAGTGTATTTTTAACTAAGATATTTTGTTTCTCTTTAGGCTCTAATCTAATACAACACAAGAGCTAAATGCTAAAAAGTGCATTTTTAAAATACAAAGGTTGTAGAGTCAAGAAGCCCCTACTTTAAAGATGGAGAAGAGAACAGTTGAGTTAGCAACATTCTCCACAGAATTCACCAGAGGCACAAAGATGGGTTTTCAGAATAATATGCTACTTTTAGCATATAATACGGCCCCTTCATAATAACTAAAGAAAACCTTTTCGGTTTCTTCAGTGCAGGGATGTTGGGGGCTGCCAAAATGCATCATTTGACCCAGGAAAATAGTTTTTTCTTCATTGGACAAGATTGAACGGCAAAATTAGTTTTAATAATTCGATTTTGAAAAATGATTCCACTTTGTACATTTAAGCAGAATTTTAAAATGATGTTTTTTAAGTAAAAGTGTGGAAATATTTCTTGATATTTTATATGTTATATGTCAATTATATGTACAACACCCTGAAACACTAGTACTGTATATTCATTGCATTTTATTAAAATACTGTAAATGTGTGTTCTCAACTGAACCAATCTGAGCCAAAACAGAATATGAAATTCATACTCAATTTCAGCTACAGTACGTATTTTCAGTATGAAAAATACACTTCAAACACTAAGTAAATAAACTAAACTAGTTAGTTGCAATTTGATTATATAAAGTATACAGCATATGCAGTATAATATACAGTATGTGTCAAGGTATGTGAAAGAGATTACATTAATATTAAATTGGTAAAGTTCTAGTGATGGTCAAATATTCTCCATTCAATTTAAAAGAAAAACTACTTAAACTTTACTTGATTTTACTTTAAATAAGTACTTATTTTTTTATTTAACATAGTGTATTGAATTAGTGAAACTTAAGGATATAACCTTTGACGTGTTTACATAATTTGACCTTTATGGATATTTAAAAAAAAACACTTTATGGGTTTTAACACTGCTGTTAACTCTTCTTCTGTTAACTCTTCTTTAAATGAGGGATTTTAAAAAGGAATTGATAACTGTATCAATAATTTAAAGGTTTCTTCAATTTTAAAGAAAAATACATTTAAGCAAATATCATCAGAATATATGTTCTGTAAATTCTCTATAGTATCCACAGCATGGGCGAATCGTTCCTAAAAAGCAAAAGTCTTTTGAAATCTAAAAAGAAAATCTCTTCTTATTCCAGTGTTTCACTCTGGACTCAAAATGGGGCCTATCCACATTAAAGTGAACTAAATGCCTTCATGGGGGAGAACAGTGTATCACCTCCTTAAAACAATAATTTCACACACTGAATTTATGTGTTTGTAAAGCTCAGTGATGTCAAGAAACATCAGACAGTTCTGTATTGTTCTGACAGACTAGTGGGAATGTTGGTGTTTTTGCGGGAGCTCCAAAACAATGATCACTAGGATCAGGTCACTGAACTAAAGAGAGGCATTGATTCATTGTTACCTCCACCGTTTTGCTTCAGGGGATGTCCTAATGCTCTCTCATCTTGTTGCTGTTTTTTTCATTATGCTTACAAAGCAGAAATAACACACTTCATGCTAATTTAAAATTTAACAAAATTGATTAACAGCCTTGAGGACAGCCATCCACTAAGAATAAGTGAGCCCTGTACAGTAGTTTGACACCCCCCAAAAAAATTGGGAGGCGAATTAAGGCCCGTAACGATATTTAAGAAACATTTACAAGTTTCTAAATAATTAAATCGTTATTTCGCAATTGTGAAACAATAATCTCCTAAATCACTTCCTGCTTTCTAAACTGAAATATACAAGTACGAATTTGTTTCTTGCAAATCTCGCATTTCAAAAACACTTAACAAACCCTGTTCTGTATAAATACTGTAGTTCAGTACCGACTACTCTACAGGTAGGCAACAAAAGAGACTCCTGAGACTCGGTGAAATTGCAGACAACTTGAAAATACACATTGAGAACACAGTAGCGATAGTCTGAGATGATACAAATGAAAGAGCTTGGGTAGATTTGCTTTTTATTAAATGGTTAATTTGTCCTCACGCAAAATACGTTAAAAATCTACAGTAGTTAACAAGCGTAAGGACTGGCTACTGCAATTTGATTAAATCGATCCCGCACACAAGATATAGCAGAAAAGTAACGCGGAGAGTGTTACTCTACCTTAGCGCACAGGTAGGTCATACTGAATTCCCAAGTGGTGCTGCTCAGGAGAAGGAGGTCTTGGAGATACAGTGGCAGCAACAATCAGACTGTCGGTAAATGTGGTGTTCGTACGGCTCTATCAACTCCTCCTCCAGCACAGTACACTGTCCAGCCTACAGCCCCTGATCACTGTAAAAACCCACCTAGATCGTCTCAGCTGCTGGAGCCGATTTCTGAACTTTAGTGTTGCTAATCAG